CCTCCTACAGGAGCCTGTCCATTGTCCCCTGAGGCAGGGAGCAGGCCCACCCCTGTGGTGGGATGAGAGAGCAGTCTGGCAACTGCCCTCAGTGGAGGGAATGTCTGCGCATCTGACCTCCCCCCACAGAAACTACTAAATTAATGGTAACAGGACAACCAGGCGGGAAATAATAAGAATATTGACACACTGCAAAAATATAACTAATGTCACTGCGGCAGTTACATTTTATTTCAATTTGACCCTGTGTGAATGTGTAGAGATGGCATCCAACCAGTCAATCAAGTCTAAGCCTGATGATGCCTCATTGGGGTGTGGCATGTTTATAAGACAGAAACTTGGAACGTTTCCTTCTTTCTCTGCCTGTTCACCTTCCTCTTTGCTGGGACCCTGCCTACCTCCGAGGGTGGCCCCATATGAGCTACTGACCCTGAAAGTTGTCAGTACCCTGCCATGGCTCCACCGACCTTGGATCCACATAGCTCTGCATTCACTATCCTGTGATTTCCCGGAATCCCGTTCACCTTTCTGTGTCACCAGTCTGTGTTTACATGAGTCTAAAAAGGACCCCAGCTTACATCAGACTTATAGACTTGTGTTGGACTGGACTGAGAGGCCTTCTTGATATAAGATTATTTCTTTGTATAAAGCTCTTTCTCACTCAGTAGTTGTATTGAGTAAGTTGGGGGGTCGGGGTGGGGGGGGGGACCACATGATGTTTTTAGCCCCAAACTGGTGCACTGAGATGGCTGCATGAGCAGGTGCAATGTTGTGATGACAAAACCAGTCCCCCATCTGCCACAAACCAGGCCTTTTCTGTCGCACACTGTTATGCAATCTTTTCAGAAGCTCTAAATAGAAAGCTCGATTAACAGTCTGACCTGGTGGAAGGACCTCCAAATGCACTACATTGACATTTTCGTCCGTTAGGGAATTTGTCAGACATCCACAACGAAGTTTTTCATCAACTGGCATTTCACTTTTTTTTGAAATGAGACCACTCATGCACTTGAGTTTTTCCCATAGCTCTGTCCTTGTACTGCTCTGATTAACTCCACAACGGTTTCTGAGGCATTTTTCCCAAGCAGGAAACAAACTCCCAGAGGTACTCGCTGTTCTCTTAAATCGGCCATCACAAGAAAATGAGGTTCGCATGAAATTGCTCTGCAGAAAAAAATCACTGTGACCAGAGAGAATCTTCCTAGGCCATAATACCACTGGGTGTACCAACTCAGAGCAAATTGCTTGATGCTCCACCTAGTGGGGGAAATGTGTACTTTGAAAGCTCCACCGGGTGTAATTTTTTTCTGGTTTTTTGTTTGTTGGGTTGGGGGGGGGTGGCTCGTATACTAAAGGGAACACTTTGGACAACAACAACAGTAGCAGCAGCAGACAAACTGAGACAACATACAACATCACCCAGAAATCAACAAACTGAAAACAGAACTCAAAACAGCACAGAAATATAGGAAGACCAAAAAAACCACTCCAAAAAAACACACACAACAGGACAGCATCAAGCACATACATGTCAATAACAATATTGAATGTTAAGGGATTAAATACACCAGTCAAGATATAGAGAGTAGTACACTGGATAAGAACACAAGACCCATCAATATGCTACCTATCAGAAACATATCTTAAACAACTGACCACAAAAATCATAAGATGGTGAAAATTTACCAATCTGATTGTAAACAGATAAAAAGTAAGAATGGCAACATTACTCTCCAACACAACAGGCTTTAAGGCAAAGAAAACATAAGAGACAAAAAGGGACACTAATTATGAAAGAAACAATAAAACAAGACATAACACACATATATGCACCCAATAAAGGATCCTGGAAATATGTTAACTGAAGTCTTGCAGAATTGAGGTGACAAACAGCCAATGCAGCAATAATAGTGGGAGTCTTCAATGCACCACTCTCGAGGAAAAAATCTCAGTAAGTACACAGAAGAACTAAACAATACAATTAACCACTTTAATCTAGGTATATATAGAGCACTCCACCCAGCAGTAGCACAGTATACATTCTATTCACGTGCACAAGGAACATCTGTTAAGTCAAAAAGTAAGTCTTAGTAAATTTTTTGAGTAAATTTTAAGATGTTGTGATTCTCCACTCTGTTTTCTCAGACCACAATGTTATCAAACAAGGGCAAAAATAAAAGACTTGAGAACTGAATAACACATTACTTTAAAATGATTGTGTAACAGATGAAGCAAGACATGAAATTTTAAAAATCCTTGAAGCAAATGAGAATAAAAGCACAGCATACCAAAGCCACTAGGACACAGCACAAACACACATGGAAGAGAAAACCAAAATCAACACCTTTGCCCAGAATCTTGGACAACTAGAGGAATAGCACCCAAATAAACCTTCAGCCAGCAGGAGAAAAGAAATCACACAGATTAGAGCAGAAATAAATGGGTTAGAAATCAGAAAAACAATAGAAAAATCAACAAAACCAAAAGTTGGTTCTTTGAAAGCATTAAGACAATTGTCAAAACACTGACAAAGTTAACAAAGGAAAAGAAAGAGAAGATGATAATATCAAGAATTAGAGATGAAAGGGGTGACATCACAATAGAACCAAATGAAATAAAAAGAATAATAACACATTGCTCTGAAAGTCTGGGCTCCAACAAATTTGAAAACATTTCGAATGATGAAATGAACACATTTCTGGAAATACACCATCTACCCAAATTAACACAGCCCAACATAGAAAACCTCAACCCACACATGGCAGAAGAAGAAATATGTAACTGTCACGTGAAAAAAACGAACTGAGATGCCTCACAGTACAAGTGGGTAATGTTAATTGTATGGGGGCTTGGAATCACCCATACTGCTTGTACCTCCTATTATTAGTGAGAACACACACATTTGTGCTCACACACACACACTCTTTGGTGCTGAATTTAAAAAGAATAGCATTGTCAATAAATCCGACTTTGATGGGGGAAAACAAAGTAAGAAACAGATCAGGTCACTTAAAAACTTCTAATCAAGAAAAGTTCTGAACCAGATGGATTCCCTGGACAGTTCCACCAAGTATCCAAAGAAGATAGACTCTTCCAGAATGTAGACAAGAAGAGCAAACTCTTTTTATGAAACGAGTATAACCCGATACCAAAACCAAGCCAAGACACCATAAGGATAGAAAACTGTAGCCCAATATCCCTTTTAGACATGGATGCAAAGATTCCCAACAAACTTCTAGCCAATAGCATCCAACAACATATCAAATAATAATAATAATAATACACCATGATTAAATGAGATTCATAACACATACATAAGGGTGGTTCAACATAAGAAAAACAATGTTATTCACTATATAAACAAAACAAAAGATAAGAACCACATGATCATATCAACTAATGCAAAAAAAAGCCATATAACAGCATCCAAAAGCCATCTTGGTTTAAAAAAAAAAGCCAAATAGGAATCAAAGTGAAATATC